CCGCCTTATTTCTGGTGCGGGACGGACGGGTATTCTCTTGTCATATTGGAGTTGATGTTACAATGCTACGTGTACTACAGAATATCTCTGCTCTCTACCAATCACAACCTTTCATTTCCCTACTCTCTACTCTCTTTCCTACCCAACACACCGATGCGATTTGATCTTTCCTTGACCTCTGCCACGTGTCACCAATCATTTCTTCAGCTTCACTGCTGGCGCTCAGATGTATCCTTCATTTTGGTACAAACTGGGCAAACCCCCACAAATACCAGTTATTATTACATTAATAATAATACTAATAATAATAATAATAATAATTCTTAACTAATATTCATATATATATATATATATATATAATTCAAAAGAAACTGTGTTTTTCAGAACATACTTTCCTCATATCCTTAGTATAAGACATCCCCTAGGTCGTAATTTATAAAATATTTTTAAATAAAATTACATATATTAATAAAATTTATTAAGTATATTTTACAATCTTTTTTTTAAAATAAAAGCATAAAATTTTAAAAATATTATCATTTAATATTCTATTTGTGATATAATATCAAAAAATATAATATAATGAAAAGAGTAATATTAAAAAAAAACATACTCCCTTCGTTTTAAAAAATAAGGTATTTTTTGAGGAATTAAATGTTTAAAAATGTAAGAAATTTTTAGTCTTTTAAGGTGTAACCATTGTTTTTTTTTTTCACAAGTATCCACTATTAATAATGACTTTATATTTATTATAGAGTATTTAATAAGGGTAAATATGAAAAGATAGCGTTAGTTTGAAAGTAGATAACTACTTTATTGGAGGGTGAAATTCAGTTAAAAATATCTTATATTTTTTAATGGAGGGAGTAATTAATAAAATTTTATTATTGTCAAAGTTATTTTGATTTTTGAGACATCAAATCTTTTTTAAATTTTTTTATAATTTAAAACAGGGAAAATATTTTACAAATTTTATATGATGTTAAATATAAGATGTACTCTATAAAAAGTTAGCAATATTAAATTATCATTTTTCAGAAATACTCATATTAATTTTTTTTAGAGAGATGATATAATAAAAAATTAAAAGTAATTTTTATATATGTATTTTAAAGAGATAAACAACTTTTAATCATTTTTGAAAATTTTAAATTGAAATAATAATTACAGGATAAAATTGAATAACAGTGATAGTTTTTAAGAATTTTAAGGAGACAAACAATTTTTAACTACTTTTGTTAATTCGTGTAAATTAGTTAAAAATATATTATATTAATGATAGGGGGGACAAACACGTACAAATATCTGGCTAACATCATCAAAATAATTCTATCCATAATAATTATGGATACTAATTTTTCTATCTCTTGTTTCAATATTTCTATAGGAGGTGAACTCAATTAAGGAAAAGCTCATATATATATATATATATATATATCGCATTTATAACCAACGATAATTTAGTGTAAAGGAAGGAGGAAGAGTAGAATCTTCACCCCGACAAATGTCAAACTCACAACCTCTTTATTATCCAAAATTGTTGGATCCATTATTAATTGCTTTTAGTTGTTAAAAATAGATAATGATGCTTTTCGTATATACCAAATAGCATTAATTAGGTTTAATGTGACATATATCCTCCTAAGTTACAATGAAATTCATATTTTATTAATCAAGTTCAGATATTCTAACGGAAGAGAAGTGCTCACATTAAAGTATTCAACTATACCTCAAACAGAATTGCACACGTCTAATAAGAAGACACTTTTATGCAATAAAAAAAATTCAGATTATATAGTTGTCACTGTTTTATATGTAATTTAATTAACATCAATCATTTTTATAGAGCCAATGTGTGCAAAATATAATATCAATAGTCATTATTAGGTTATTCAATTTTGAGTAAACTTAAGCTTTGCAGGAAGTCTCCTAAAACTTAATAATAAACAATGTATAATTAAAGTGAAGATGACCCATAAACAATCATAAATAGAGATAGATCAATCTGTAATTATATATGTTGATTTTATCAGGACCAGGATGCTCCCTCCCTCCGCCACTGGATATTATATATATTGTAACATTTTTTTGGGACCTGAGGATATATATATATATATTATAACACTGGCTTTTATGTGTGTGTTTTTTTGGTGAATGATATATTGTACAATGAACTGGTTTGAAAATTATTCTTGAGTGTGAAGAAGAGTATTGGAAAGTGGGGCTCTATGGGGGATAAAGAGGACGAACCTCTCCACCAAAACACATGCGAGAATATATATCCTCACCAAAATGTGCATGTGCAGCGAATATGTTTGTCTATGTGTGTATCAATGAATATGCACTCACCAATTATATATATTATTGTTACCTCTTTAATCCAACATTTCTCTAACTTTTCCCCCTTATATATAATTGTCTATGTGATTTCAAGAACCCTTTTTCACCGGAAAAAACAAAATAATATATATTGTAAATTATTGAGTTAAATTATTAGTATAGCTAATTAATTGGTAAGTCGAAATCACGTTTACTAATCGATATATGTGAGTACCCATATTGGTAGGTAATTCAAAAGTATCTCTATAAATTGATATATTTGAGTACCATATTGGTAGGTAATTCAAAAGTATCTCTATAAATACTTTTTTGATTGATGGGATCTACTTCTATTTGACAGGCTCTTATCTGGAAATTCAACTCATATAAACTGTTATTTTATAAGAAAAGATAGTTTTTTCTAATTTTTTTCGTTGGATAATTTCTATAGGCTTTGATCACTCTAAACTTGAAAGTGGAACTTTTTGTTGCTCTACAAGTTTGGATGGACATTGATATGTATAATTTTTTATTTTAGCAAAACACCAAATTAGTTGTTAGTAAGTTGGAGCAGGCCATTTCCACTAAGTCACGTACTAATTCTAACGAAGAAGCTTCCCACAACCTGCTCATATACATATAATTTATCATGTGGGAATGTTAGTGTAAGGCCTATTTAGTCCAAAACCTAGATAATTAGTATCGTGTATTAATTAAATAACAACAAGTCATTCATCCTACAGAAGAGTTTAAAAAAAAAAAATCTATCACAAACATGAATTAATCAACAGGACATTATTCTTTATTAATTAAGGAATTGCCAATATCAATCACTAATAATTTAACATCAACATAAAATATAGTTTTAGGCCAAAAAAAACATAAAATATAGTAAAAAAAATGTAATGAACCGTACTAAAATTAATGACCTGGCTCAGTTACATGAGCACATATGCATAAATCGGTGTCGTGATTCCTAATCAATAATGACATTTTAGTAAATTAAAATTACCAGTACCTTGAAAACTCCATCTTCAAAATCATGACCTAATAATGATGCCATATATCCCCAAACCCAAAAATTTGCCAGAACCTTAAATAATTAGTATTATCAACACTATAAAAGGGAATTATTTTACTGATGACTATACCATGTATCATATATATAAATTCTTCCAGAGTTCATTTGTTGCATATATATCTAACAACTAGTGAAATTTTCATGGGCAGTTTTGTTCTAATGTATTATGATATATGTGACACAATAATCACAAAAGATCAGAGATTCATTTTTGGATAATTTTTTTTAACCATTGAATGTATTTCTATTATTTTATGTAGCGCGAGTTAAAACAATAGGCCAAAATGAGAAGGGAAAAAAATGAAAAAAGCTAGCTAGACGTGTTTCATCTATAATGTTTTGGACTTTAATTTTATGATCAGCTTGCCGTAAACTGGAAACATGCAATGCTAATTTCCTTGATAGTTATAAAAGTTAATTGAGTATATGTACGCCACTTATATATATTGATTAATGTGCAATAAGTTTTGCCTCTTTCAGTACACATAGAAGGTAATTCCATCAATACCATTTATGTGATAGTGTACTTTCCTTCCTTTTCTTTTCTTATTTCCCTTCCTAATTTTTAAGATATATATGGTTGCATTTACGCAATTTTAATCTTAAAAGTATTCTTTTTACTTTATTACATTATATAAAAGTCATAAACATCTGACTGATTTTTAAATTTTGTTAAAATTCTTGTGCACAAGAAATTTTAAATTCTAAATATATTTTTTTCAAAAAAAGGTATTGATATAAACAATAAAGCTAGCTATGATCAGTTTCATTTTATATTAATTATATATATTAAATATATAATTATAAATGTATATCTTAAATATAATTTTTATTATATTAATTACAGATTTTTACCTCTCTTGTCATGTGGTTTTAAACTTGAAGGTAAAATGATGGTTGTTGCCGTACCACAGTGACTACTGCTTACATATGTGTCTTGGCTTGGGACAATATTGCCAACATTACGAACTCACCTAGAAAAGACAACCTCGCTAATTTCAACTCACTCCTGTTCACTTGATGCCCCAGGTTTACCAAAAAGCAAGGCATCTTGATTTTTTTAAAAAAGAAAAACAGAGATAAAAAAACATAAGGTGTACTTACCAACATGCCCCTGAGGGTGACTTCACGTCCTCATTATCTAACTTTATAAAAGCTGCTTCGTGAGAAATTAATTAGAGGTGTTCTGCACAGTCACGAGCATGGGTACAATGGTCTATAAAGATAATATCCGCTCCGTGTAACACAGAGAGAGGGGGGGGGGACAAAAATAGGAAGCTTACGTGGGTATTTGAGGGGTGTATTTATGCATGGATTGATGGCAAAAAAAAAAAAAATTACAGTGCAAGAGGGAGAGGGTGGGGACATTTTTCTTAATTACTTTTAGGGAGCTCTTATAGTGATGTACTAAATATAGACCCTTTTTTCTATAGAAGCCCCAAGTTTGGTTATTATGTTGTGAAAACTAACTTTACCTGCTAAACCCAATTCTCATGGGATGAGATGAGAAAGTATAAGAGAAAAGATGTGTTTGTTTGTGGGGATGTTTTTTCTCATATCTGGAGCCCATTACGGAAGGAGGGTGCTTGTGGGATCAAGTTTCGAGCATTGTGATTGGGTGTGTGAAGTGTGTGTGTCTCTCTTTTTGAAAGTTTATTAAGGAGAGACAACACCTTCTGAAGATGAGAGTTGGAATTGGAAGCAAGAGAAGAACCCAAGGGAAGAGAGAGAGAGAGAGCCCCATGGAAGGAAAAGCTGAAAGTTTAAAAGCAAGTTAAAAGAAAGCTGAGAGAGTAACCGAAAGAGAGAAAGCAAGCAAGCAAGAAAGCAAGATCTTTTTCCCTCTTCGCTCGCCTCTATACTCTCTCGCTTCCCTCTCCTGTGCCTTCTAGCTAGCTGTCTCTTTTTCTTCTCTCTTTCTCTCTGTTATTCCTCATGATCTCTTCGTTCACTTAATCCCATCTCCACCAATAATTCACCAATTTTACTATAATTAACCAACGATCATCATCCCCATGTCATCAGTTCCAACCTCGGAGCAGTTTTCCAGCGCCGAGAATGGCACTAGCACTACAAACAAAAGAAAGAGACGACCCGCAGGAACACCAGGTAGGTTCTGAATAATTCAGGTTATAATCCCATGAATTTGAATTCCCATGTCCATGAGGAAATTGATGAATGATTTCGCGGATATGTATAAACACAGATCCAGATGCTGAGGTGGTGTCTCTGTCGCCGAAGACGCTATTGGAATCGGACCGGTACGTGTGCGAGATCTGCAACCAGGGGTTTCAGAGGGACCAGAACCTTCAGATGCACAGGAGGAGACACAAGGTTCCGTGGAAGCTGCTCAAGAGAGAGACGCCGGTGGTGAAGAAGAGGGTGTTCGTGTGCCCGGAGCCGACCTGCTTGCACCACGACCCTTGCCACGCCCTCGGCGACCTCGTCGGAATCAAGAAACACTTTCGCCGGAAACACAGCAACCACAAGCAATGGGTCTGCCACCGCTGCTCCAAGGCCTACGCCGTCCAATCCGACTACAAGGCGCATCTCAAGACCTGTGGCACTCGCGGCCATTCCTGCGATTGCGGCCGAGTCTTCTCCAGGTATATTTATATCACATATATTAATTAATCACTCACTCGCACGTATATAGATCTGCTTCTTCTTCTTTTATTATCATCCTATATTATATATTAATTCGCTTAATCAGCTTGATGCCGTTTTGTTTTACATTGGTTTTGACTTGAAAAAAGGGAAATACATTTTTTGGAATGGAATATAAAGTTAGTGAGGGGGAAATAAAAGGCTTTCGTATTTGACTGATGCAACATTATTAATCCTAATTTTCAAACAATAATAATAATAATAATAATAATACTGTTTTCGACGGTTGGAGAACACTGCTCCCGAAGCTGTTCCTTTTTTTTTTGGCGGGTTGGTCTCATATATATATGGCTGTGTCTGGCATTCCAGCAGGAGCTTAAAACTTCATCGTCTTCGCGATGATCATACGTTGTATATTTCTTGGACGAACACTGCAGAATATATGTCTCAATGTTTTAGATGTAACGAGAGTTTCGAGTTGTGATTTAATATGATTCTTGCTTCTTCGCCTTTATTCAGGAGTGGAACCCCCTTTCGCCATTTCAAAACCAGAAGACACCTTTTATTAAAAAATCTACTTTTTCCAATCACTTTTTCTTCCTTCTCTTCTTTAATTAGCTCGCTCTTTAGGGTCTTTTCTTCTCCATCTAATCCCATCGTTTGAAATGCTTGATGATGATGATGATGTTTCTTCTTCTTCCTCCTCCTCCTCATCATCATCATCATCTTCTTCTTCTTCTTCTTTGTCTTTATTATGTTTCATCCTTTATTGTGTGCATGTGCGTATAGGGTGGAGAGCTTCATTGAACACCAAGATGCGTGCAATATGGGTCGACTCCGATCGGAGGCGGCGCAGCCGCTGCAACCGGCATGTCTATCTCGGACCGCGTCGAGCCCCAGCCCGTCAAGCGAGACCAATTTCAGCGCTGGTCCAGCATGGCCTCCGCCGCCCGGTCTGATGATCCCAAAGCCAACTCCCGAACCCACATTCTTCCAGAACAATAACCCTATTATTGCCGATAAAACCTCGTGCAAGACCAACAATCAAAACAGCAACAAGCTCTACCCGAACTTGGACCTTCAGCTCTCAACCGCCACGCCCAACACCGACGTCGTCGTCGCGAGAGACGAGACCCACTCGACCCAGCTACAGCTCTCCATTGGGTCGTCGGACGTGAGCGATAAGAACGAGTCGAATAAGAATTCGTCTCCGAAGGAGAGCAGTAACAGCAGCGACAAGCCGCCGGGTGCGGTGGCGGCGCTGATGGTGGAGAAGGCGTACGCGGAGGAGGCGAGGAAAGAAGCCAAGAGACAGATGGAGGCGGCGGAGCAAGAATTCGCTAACGCCCGCAGAATAAGGCAGCAAGCTCAAGCTGAACTGGACAAAGCTTATGCGTTGAAAGAGCAGGCGATTAAGCAGATCAATTCTACCATGCTTCAGATCACTTGTCATGCTTGTAAGCAACAGTTTCAACAGCAAGCGCAAAAGTTATTAATAACCAAAGGTGGTGGCCAAGTATTAGACAACAATAACGGGAAGGAAAAAAACCACTAACTGCTCTTGAAACATCTTCCAAGTCTGGGTTTCTTTTCTCATCTTCTTTTTCTTTCTTTTTTGGGTCTTACCCTAATATATCTTTGTGAATTGGTATACCGAGTAAGATGTGATGTGATGAATTATGTAAGTGGGATCAGTGGGGTGTTTATGTTTTTAGTTAAATTTGGCACAACAGCTAGCAGACTATAAAACTATGTTTTTAAGGGTTTTTGCTGAGAAAGCTTTCTCTCTTTTCTTTTCTAGCTACTATATGAGAATATGAACATGAATAATCTCTCTTTGATCTCTTGGCGCAGTTGTAATGATGATATGTATTTTATCTTTGTAATGATCAGCAGGCTTTTTTACTCGATCACCGCATTGAATGCATGAGAAGGTCTGAGAAAAATCTGAAAATTTCCCAACCTGTAGTTCTGGTCGCTTTTGGATTTTCTGCTGGGGACTATTATGAGAAGATCTTTGTTGGGCAAGCAGGGTCAGGGAAAATGAAAAACAACCCAGAAAGCCATCATCACATCTGTCTATACGCATCACACACACATATAATAAACATTAAAGAAATCAATGTCTTCAGGGTGACAAAATTATGGATTCATCGAGCTTTCTTATTTTTAAAGCAGATTTCCATTATATATATATTGAATAAGCAAGTCAAATAAGAACTGCAAGGTCAGCAAAATCCGAAAAGTGCCGGCCAGAAGAGAATGAATGGGTTTACGTAGAGTGAGAGAGAGAGAGAGAGAGATAAATTTGAAAGGAAAAGGAGAGTGGTAGCATGTTTTTCAGTGCCACTGTTGAAGGGAGGGAGGGGTTAATGACAGTAACAGAGACTCAGTGGTCGCTCTCAACGTCGCGCAAAGCCACAGACGCAAACAAACTCAATTCATGATGATGATACTCTTTAATCTCTTTGCATCAGAATCAGGGCCATATGGGAGCAGTACTGGACGCCCAGACAGAGAAAGAGAGAGAATAGGAGAGAGAAGCACGAGCCAGCAGAACCAGAAAGCAGCATCTTTCCAAATATGCAGAGACCATTCAAAGCTTTTATGTATGTGCGGGTTTGAAGGGAAGAGAGAAATGAAAGAAAATAAGAAATGCCTCTTCGTCCCAACAAAATAATAATAATATTTAGAAAGAAATAGATAGAAAACAAAAAGCCGTAGAAAGGCCAAAGTGATGAGCACAGGAGCTTAAAGTGTCTGTTTTTTTCGTTCTTCAATTTAGTTTTGGTGATCTCGCCTAGACTAGCTCGCTGTATAGTAGCTTTTTCTCTTGGACCATGTGTTTCTTATTTTATTTTTCCCTCGAGTCTCAAGCATATTATCACAGTACTGGTCTCTTCCACTTTTATCTGACACATAAATGGCTGTACAATCATTGTTAAGTGGTGGTTCCTCTGCCAACTTGTGTGTGTGCCTGACGGATTTCTAATCTGTTTCCCATTCACCGCCCCAAATTACTCTTGTTGTTCTATAAGCAAATCCCATCTTATGAATCAATCCCAATAACTACATATCTTACCATTTTTTTATTTTTTTAAAAAAATTAACACACACTATTATTCCAAGTGTGTGTGTTCATATTGATATCGTAGCTTTGGAATTAATGGTCAACCTGTTCGCTTTTTCATATATGAATGCTAGATTGGGCTAGCTGGTAGATCACCGAGATAATTTTGTGCAACTATTTAATGTCTTTATGCATGTTTTGATAGTCGAGTGAGAGAGATGACTCGCTTTATACATATATACACGAGCTTCATGATAAGATTATTTACAGATGGTGAGAATTAATTGAAAGGAAAAAAAAATAGTTGATATGTTTATATAAATTCATCTTATTCAACTTACATTCTTCTTTTGATTTTTTACAATTTCATTCTTCTTGGTTGAATTTTTGTAATTTTTATAGTTGCCTTTATGTTTTTAAAAATTTTAATTTGATCTCTCGTATCAATTTTTTTGGTTATATCAATAGCCAATAGGATTTTGAATCATGGATTACTAATATCACCAATATAAAAAAAATATAACAATTTTATATACAAAAATTAATGTTCCTTCCTTAATTTTCTTCTTTGTTTGTATATATTATAAATAATATAGATTTTTAATTATAACAATTATGTTCAAATTATATATCGTCATCAAAACAACGAGATTTAGTGATAAAAATTATATTATTTTTAAACTATAAAAAAATTAATAACAATTTTTATAGATATTGAACTAAGTTATAAATTGAGAAACAATATAAGCACCTTAAAAAAATACTTCGAGCTTACAACATATTTCTTGTTCAAAAAGTATTTTGAGCAATTCTTTTTTTCATGTAAACGTTATGATACACATTGACTTGCTTGACCTCTGGTCAGAGAAGGATCTATGGCCCACTTATCACGTAAATTAATTTTCGTTACATACAAAAATTTTGAAGAATTAATTGTCAAAGACATTTTTTACTACTCTTTCGTGCAAACTTTTACAGCGATGGATCATTTTTTTCCCCGAAAAAAAAATAATTTCCCTCTGGTTTTTTGAAAGCAATCAAATCACTCTAAGGCATAAATAAGAAGAAAGAAAGAAAGAAACAAAAAACATATACGAAGAAAGGTGCTGTGTTTTGGCAGCACAAAAACTCATTAATTAATTTCATCCCACCACACCTCGTACGTACGTGTTTTTACTTCTTCAACCTATCAATGGAAGCTCATCATCAGAAGAAGCATTAATTTCTTCAAAACAGTTAATAATGTGATATGATTGGAGGGTAATTATATGATAAAGATGTGAGTAGTAGTCAAGAACAAGAGCATCAAGGCGATTTATATGGACCTCCACCACAGATATATATGATGTACAGAATTTGAAAGAGAGAGAAAGAGAAGTATGGTGAAGATGATAATAATAAAGATATGGTAATAAATTAAAAAATAGAATTAAGAAAATAAGGGAAAAAGACCTATCCACATGAATACAGCTTTATGTTGCTGCAAAATTGTCCTGGCATTATATTGACAAGGTCCGTAAAACTAGGCAATGCTATTAATTTGATTGAGTTCTCACCCTCCTCCACATTTAAACCTATGAGTGGGTTAATATTAATGTATTTGGTGATTTTCCTGAAATCTCTCCCTTGTGGACACATATCATAACTCCTCTCTTTTGTTTCTTTACTCTAGTGAGAGTAGGTTTTGATTTCGATTTTTGAGTGGGTACTTTTTAGTTTGTGATGAGAAGAGAAAATACAAGTGGGAGAGGGCAAATGATGGAAATTTATGTGTATATATGGTCTTCTTCTTCTACTACTACTACTTGTTATATATATATATATATATATATATATATGGATATGTTTGACAAAGGAAAGGGACGTGTGCTTCCCATTTTCTGTGTGAGAGAATATAGATAGGAAGTGAATGGAAATTATTGGAGAATGAAAGTGAAGGAGTTTGGATCAATCCAGATCATCTACATTCAACATGTTAATTGGAAAGAAAAGACTTAGACTGTGGACGAGTTTGGATATGACACTAACATATCCAACTGGAAATTAAAGAAAGGCTTAAAATGTGGACGAGTATTTTGGATGATACTAATAGCTATCGCATAGAAGAGATCTCATATATTTAGAGCGTTTTTAAAGCGTTCCGAAAAGTTAAAAATAAGTGTTTTGATAACCTTTTTTACAAGTGTCTTGAAAAAATTATTATAATAAAATTCTTGTAGAGTTCATCATTTTTTAAATAACCATCTATTATCTGGTACTAGTAGGTCAATTTGAGTATTTTTTGGATTACATGGTGTTCATAGAATTTTTGATCCCTTACTTTAATTATCGATTTAGTACTCTTTAAAGTATAATGTTTATCAATTAAGTTCATAAATATAAAGTAATGATACAATACCTGGAGATTAAGGGAAAAAATAGTGGGTGAAAAGTGACAAAGCGATTTCACGTACATTCAAGCTTTGCATCACTTTCCTTTCTCATTTTAGAAACACCTTACCAACATAAATTATTTAAAATAAAAATTTTAGAGAATCATTACATTGGTGTAAGGTCAAACTCATTCTTGATCCTTCCAAGTGTAAATTGTACTAAAGAACATGTATGCACAATTTGTATATGTCTGAAAGAATAAAAACTAGGACATGCAAACTGTTACATCTGGTAAAGGATCTGACATCATATATATAAAAAAGAAATTAATGTTAGGTAACGATACGCTTCACTCCAAGAATAATCATCGTCTCAATAATCTACCAAACGAAACAGTAATATTTGATGAAGCAATTGGCAAGAGGGGGATGTCTTTTGACGATAAATAAGAAAAGTGATGTGTGTGTGCGCGCGTTGTTGGAGTTGTGAAGCAAAGTTGCGTGGTGATACATTCATTTGACTTTAGAAGGGGAAAAAGAAGTCAAGACCAATCAATTGGATTCAACCAACAATATACACTGAAGGGAACAAGATTTGAATGGTTGGCAACAAGATAAATCTAGCGAATGATTCACTTTTAAAAGTAAGGTTTCAAATTTCAACCATCACATTTAATTCATCTCTTTAGATTTTGGAAGCTTTGTTCGTACCATATACAAGTTGAGCAACCCCCACCCTCATTCTTTTTACTTGTTTTCCCACCTTTTCTCATTGTGTTGTTTACACTCATGCTTTAATTTTGTGGTTGGAGCCGGGAAAGCAAACCAAGCCTATAAAGCCGGCCTATTTAAACTTGAAAATAATTGAAGTTGTGCTCAAAAATGTTAAGCTTTAAATTAAAACAAAGGGGGCTTATAAGGGGCCAGCCCTTCAGAACAAAGTTTAGATATTATTGATTATGTTATTTTCATTTATATTTGTGTTATTGCAGATGATTAAGCAAATATTTAGTTGTTATTCTCTCTTTTTGTAGAATTAAGTTTTTCATAATGGTCTGGCATGTTTAATTTTAGTTCATTATTTATTTATCTAAACATTAAAAAATTGTTTAATTTGGACTTTAGATAGTGATTTGATTTTTGTTATGTGTGCTCATATTTTTAAGGGAGAATTACTGTATGTAATTTTCCCTATTTTAAATTATATTTTTTGACAACAGAGTATTTTTATAGTTATATAGCTTGAGATTTTATTATTTGAACTAGGAATTTATGAACTTTAATGTTTTATCACTTGAAATAGGAGCTTTTTTACATAAGTATGATGTTGAATTTGCTGTAAATGTTTCGCTTTTATTGTCTTATTGAGACTTAGAGGAGAATTGTTTCGTTTATTTAG